AATTTTCTGAAACTAGAACAGTCAATAACAAAAAATGCAGTCTAATATTCTTATAAACTACGAGAGTAAAAAATACTGAAGGACATCTTATTCTATTGACAGAGAACAGGAAAAAAAGTGTTGCCTCTTGGTCCTGCTTTTTGTCAATGATTTTTTAACTGTCTGGCCATTTCTTACCTGTTACAGGTTTCTCACTGTAGTGAACAATGTGGCCTCTGACTTTGGCTTGTCACAAGAAGTCTGTAGTTGCTAAATTACTGTCTTCTGTTCTCAATGATTTGGGGTGCATTCTTCTTTTACCATGTCACAAGTCTTGTCCATACTATGCTGAATGTCCTCAAGAAATACAAAATCACAGAATCACAGAACTGTTCTGGTTGGAAAAGACCATTAAGATAATTGAGTCCAAATGTTAACCTAACTCTGCTGAGTCCAGTTCTAAGCCATGTTGCTAAGCACCACATCTATACATCTTTTAAACACCTCCAGGGATGGTGATTCAACCACCTTCTTGGGCAGCCTGTTCCAGTGTTTTATTATTACCCTTTCAGTGAAGAAGTTTTTTCTAATATCTAAGCTAAATCCCACCCTGGCACAACTCACAACCATTTCTTCTTGTCCCATCACTTGTTACTTGGGAGTAGAGACTGATCCCCACCTCACTACAACCGCTTTTCAGATAGCTGTGGACAGCAATCAGGTCTCCCTTCAGCCTCTTGTCCAGGCTGAGCAACTCCAGTTCCCTCAGCCACCTCTTGTAAGACTTCTCCTCTAGACCTCTCACCAGCTTCATTGCCCTTCTCTGTACCCACTCCAGCACCTCAATCTCCTTCTTGTAGTGAGGGGCCCAACACTGAACACAGTACTTGAAGTACGGCCTCATCAATGCTGAGTACAGTGGGACACTCACTTCCCTAGTCCTGCTGGCCACAATACATCTGATACAAGCTAGGATGCCATTTGCCTTCTTGGCCGCACTGCTGGCTTATATCCAGCTGTCTGTCAATCAACACCCCAGGTCCTTTTCCTCTGGGCAGCTTTCCAGCCCTGGGGAGCACCACTTGTGACTGGCTGCCATCTGGGTTTAATTTCATTAACCACAACTCTTTGGGCCCAGCCATCCAGCCAGTTTTTTGAACAGTGAAGGACACAGTGGTCTAAGCCATAAGTAGCCAGTTTCTCCAGAAGAATCTTGTGAGAGACAGTGTCAAATGTTTACTAAGGTCCAGGTAAATAACATCCGTAGCCTTTCCCTCATCCACTAAGTGGATCATCTTGTCATAGAAGGAGACCAGGTTTGTCAAGCAGGACCTGCCTGTAATGAAGGATCCTCCTACTTGCCCTTCTTCTAGATGGAGGCCTTGTAGATGGAGGTCACATTTGCCAATCTTCAGTCTACTGGGACCTCCCCAGTTAGCTAGAACTGCTGGTAAATGATGGGAAGTGGCTTTGTGAGCACTTCTGCCAGCTCCTGCAATACCGTTGGGTGTTTTCCATCTGGCCCCGTAGACTTGTGTATGCTAAGTGATGCAGCAGTTTGATAACCATCTCCTCTTGGATTGTGGAGGCTTGAGTTTGCTACCCATCCCTGTCTTCCAGCTCAGGGGGCTGGGTAGCCAGCAAACAACTAATCCTACTACTAAAGACTGAAGCCAAGAAGACATTAAATACCTTAGCTTTCCCCTCATCCTTAATAACTGTGTTTCCTTCTGCATCCGATAAAGACTAGAGTTTCTATTTAATCCTCTTCTTGTTGCTAATATATTTGTAGAAATGTTCATTGTTAATCCATCAATTTAGAAATTTAAATTTATTTGAAATTATTCTTGTTTTGCAAAGATCTTCCTACAGGGTTGCTTGGTATAGTTATTTTTTATCTTTCTCATTAGTTCACCCTAGGATATTCACCCTAAAGGCATCTGATAAAGGCATTTTTCCTGTGAAACAGAAAGCCAATGAGCAAAAATTACAGGGAAGCCTTCATATATAATGTTCTGAACATAGGGAATGGGAATGTGGGTTTCATTTGTTTCTTCTGCATGATTCATTACAGGAACTTGAATTCATTCACGTACATGAAAAGGTATTATGCAACTGTTATTTTTAATCTGCTATAACAGAATAACAATCAGTGCATGTCAGACTGTATAAATCTAATTTCTCTGGAATTCTGTTCTTGAAATTATTAGGAAATAAAATTAGGTCAACATTCTATAATGTTGGGAATTCTCTACAAATATTGACATTTGTGCTGTGCTGAATATTTGTTGATTACTGGATTCTTTCTTTTATTTGCTCTATTCAAGTGTCCAAATGAAGATGTAAAAATCAGATTTTTCAGAAATAAACAGAATGTTATTCTTAAAAATGCTGGTTTGATTCCTATAGGTAGTCAGGTGTATAAGCAAGAACATTAGAATCTGATACTGACTTACCAAAAAGTGAAAATATATGGGTGCATACTTATTTTAATTATTTTCTTTAGATCTAATATTTCTGGTTTCAATATCTGACTATAAACTATTTTTGAGACTTAGTTATATCCTGCAGTGATACAAAATTAATTATTGTTTATTAAACTTACCTGTGTAGCTGGAATGAATTATCTGTTGGCCCGATCACATTGTATTAATATTGGAAAACTGGATTTATTTGCTTTTTGTCGTTTGGGTTTTTTTCAGGTAGAAATTGAAAAGCTGGACTATCATCGCTACCTGCCTTTGTTTTTTGATGGACTTTGTGAAATGTCATTTCCATATGAGTTTTTTGCTCGTCAAGGAATTCATGACATGCTGGAACATGGTGGAAACAAGATTCTTCCTGTTATTCCTCAGCTTATTATCCCAATCAAAAGTAGGTGAATATGTGGGGAAAAAAAAACCCAAATCCCTAAAATTGGATTTATATAGTGTAGATTTTTGACAAGTTGCTAATTAAGCAATAAAAGGTGGCAGGCTGTACATTTTATGGAGATTGTTGCAAACGTGAATAAAATGTAAGGTGTATAGCCAGAAGGCTTATGCCTTCAATCACCTGGTATGTGCAGTAATCCAGAAGAACAGACTGTCTGGTTGGTGTCTTTCTTATTACAATATGTAAATCCATTACTATATAAACCAGTTAATCTAAAATGACAGTATAAATCACCAGATGAAATTTACAGAGTTTTATTTCTTGTCCTTTTCTTTCTTCTACAGTTGTCTTATATTTCTTCACTAGATATATTTTCTATAATCATTACTTTGCATATACCTATATCTCTTTAAATTAGGAAACCTGCCTGATTAATTAATGTAGTATGTAAATTTTTTGTGTTAACAAAATTAATTTTCAAGTTTTTATATATTCAAACATAGTATTTTGTAGAAAAAATATATTAAACATAATACTTTCTTTTAATACAAGTTTAATACCACTGAAACTTCCTTTCTTGAAAAACCTGGTCTTTCAGATGTATTGTTTTTTATTTCCTTTTTCTTTAGATCAGTACCTTGAGGAGTCATCCTTTAGTTAGGTATTATGATTCTTAAGTGTGTGTGCTGCACCTATACTAAATAGATACTCATGTTTGTTAAACTTGGTGTCTGTTTTTACCATTGATCAGTAATGGTGTCATTGCTGTCCTTTGTCCTATTTTCCTGAGGTAGTTCAGCATCCATACTAATACAGAGCAGAACAGAGTCATTGTATATGTGATACAGGATGGAGTCAAACACAGCTTTGGAAAAGGGGAAAGGGAATGTAGTTTGGAGCCTGACAATTCTGAAATAATAGTGTTAGAAGGGTCAGAATTGTGGAGGGGGAGTTAAATTCAATTTATTCTCCTTTAAAAATGATTAATTATAGATGTCATTATCTCTATCTTACTGTATGTTTTGAAAATATGAAAAGAAATGCAATATTGAGAATGGTTCCTCTGTAAGTGACACTCGTGACAAGTTATGGGAAAAAGTTACAGTTTTTTGTCTCTAAAAGGGAAACACATAAAGAGAGGAATCATGTCATTTCTTTAAGTCTATATTCCAACACCACGAAAATATATTTATAGTCATATCATTTTTCTTTTGAAAGCTGAAATAGTTTCTTCAGATAAACTGCAAGTTTATGACAGCAGCTACTCAGTTAGGATTTAAAAGCCTTGCTGAGACCAGAATGTAGCTTAGAAATAATTACCTGGAAGCTTTAGCTGTTACACAGCTTTTAGCATTAGCAAGAGCCTGCTAGGTAAGGATATTTATATGGGTTTGATATAGAGTATTTTAAGTCAAGTCATAATTTATGATGCTGGAACACATTCAAGAATCTAACAGATACATTTAGTTGTTGGTTCTATATTTTATTGTACAGTGCATTTTTTATTTCAAAAAAGCTTCTTTATTGACTTTAATGTGTGAGGAGTCTAAGTATTATCAAGGATAAGGGCTTCTTCCTAATTAAAGCCATATTCATATTTTTTTTTAAGACACCACCATCTCGAGGAATCTGAGTTCTAAGATTATTCTAAGAGTTTTAAAATTTGCTGTGATTGTGTAATATAATAGTGTAGCCAGAGCTATACATTTCTGTGACTCAGCTGCATCCCCAATAAACTCAGCTATGTTTCACACATATTGCTGTTTCTAAAGTGTCCCACTGGGTGAGTCATACCTGATTAACCAGTCTTCTTCTAGACCACTACCATATTTCTGTTGTGGAAGAGTGAATCAATTGATTATTAGGCAAGGTAATATATATGATGGAGCAATAATAGAAAGACAGAAAAATAACTGCAGATTTTTAAAAGCAGTTTCTGTCCTGTATGTGCATCAAAGGAAAATATTAATAAAGACCTGCTCTCTAAAAACATTTTAAATTAAGTCTTAGAATTCTATATTGTATTTTAATGGTTCAAGGAGAAATATGTCCTTGCTTAAAGTTCACACTATTTGAACTCTATATAATTTCAGATTAAAATTATATTATTTAATGGATCTGAGAGTTATTGTAAGCCCAAATTCTTTCAACAAATTTTCTTCTGGGTATGCACAGACAATGACTAAAGAAGGTAGATAAATTAAATTAACACATCCAGTTTCCCAAAATACTTGAAATATTATTAAAATTCTATTAAAAAATGCTATTTAGTTAAGAAATAAATGTGGGGTTTTGTCACATTGAAAAGCACTTTTTTTTTTAGAAATTCAGAGAAAGAAAAAAACTTATTAGAGACATTGGGTTCTGAAAGAGAAAAATGTTCAAAACCTATTTTGAGTTCTCAAAATTAAATTTCAAATATATTGTTTATTATTGTGTGGACATTATGGGAATGTAAAATTCCTTTTTATACTAATTTTTAATGCAAATTATTGCTTTTAATATTACATTTGTCATTAGAAATGCCAGGTCAGAAAAGCCCTTTGCCTGCTTTCATTGGACTTTGACAACTCTGAGATTCTTGACTTCAGAGTTCCCTAGATCCAGTGTGAGACGTGCACATAAACACTGAGAGGGCGGGAACTTCCTACACCTTTGTTTGAAAATTCTAAGACAATACAGACATCCAATACAGTGTATGGAAGCACCTCCTCTCCTTTCAAAGGCAGTGAACATGGTACCATTTACATTTTCTCTGCTGGCAGCATAGTCATAGGAGCTTCCATGCTCCTCACCCAAAAAGTGACCAATCATTCCAGCTCCCACAAATCATTGTATTGCAACTGACTTTGCTAGTGCAATTGTTTGTGGAGCAACTAACTGAATCTCACGTCTAGATGTTTTTTAAAACCACCAAACCTAAAATAAAACCAAAATATGTTCAGAGTGGCTTTACTTTTAAACTCAATTTCAATGGTAAACTTTATAAGTGCATTGTCACAAATTAAGGAATACTATGCAATAGCACAGGAGTTGGAGTGAGTAGGGTAGGATCAGTAGAAACATGTTGATAAAGCTTTGCTAGTGAAGAAAACAATGTGAAATTAAACACTTTAGCATCTTGGGTCACCCACTTGCCAGAATCTTTTCTGTCCTATTTGGTGAATCCTGAAATGGACACAATCTCAACTTAGGCCTAGAAGCCAGTAAAGCTCACCTTTTTGTCCTTAAATTGTACCTTAGATAGAAGTATGGTTTCTACATGGTTTCAGACAGCAGACTAGCACTTCTGATTGTGTCCAAAAAGAATAACTTTCATCCTAAGGAATATTAAAGTTTTCCTTTTTAAGGCTTTTTTCATGCTGTTAAAAGTGCCTTTTAAGACACAGTTGATCAAAGAAAGCTTAAACTTTGTTGAAAATGTTATGTTGAGGGAAACAGATTTTTTGTAAGTCAAATATGGAGAAATGAACAGAGTAGTCCTCCCTCAGTGTAACCTACAGAGTCCTTTTTAATGTTTAATAAATTTCTAAATTGAATTGATTTCAGTTTTTTTATTCTCCACAATTACATGTGGAGAATAAGAAAATGTATTCTCTGCATGTAAAATGCGAATTGTTGTCTTGGACAAGAGTGTAGTTAACTCATATTTAATGTCAAATTAGCGTCACTGTTGCATTTCGATAAGTAAAGCTGAACCTTTTGCTAGCAGTTGTTCTAAGCATATTTATATTTCTCCTCATATATCTTCACTGTATTTGTGAGTATTTAATATTCATTAAATGCTTCCTTATTTCATGAAGTGCTGAAATATTTTTATGGAATACATAAGGTTTTCTGGGCTGTAATATTTTTCTTTCTGTAAATCGTGTAAGTTGATTTCTGTCATCTACAGAAGGTAAATTAAACCTTGAATGGAATTACTATCTTCCCCTTGACTGTTTAGCTTGAGAACCAGTTCTGGTTGTTAAGATCACAGATTGAAGCTCTAAACAAACTTGGTTTTATAGACTTAAAATGCTTTTAAATAAAGCAAAGGTTTCTTATTTTAAAAATTAAAATTGTCTTGACTCTTAAATACCAAACTATTTGTCTCCTGTAGGCTCCATCAATCAGTAGAAGTGATTGTAATTAGAAGTTTTATGTTAGATTCTTCCACTCAAAACTGGTCATTTGAAGTAGTTTCAGATGGTATGGAAATTAGATTCTGTATTATTCCTCTTCTGTCTATGAGGAGAAACTGTTTTTAATTTTAAAAATAAACATTTCTTCCATATTTGGAAAATAGTATCTACAGTTAACAACTCTTTTAAACACCTCCAGGGATGGTGATTCAACCACCTTCTTGGGCAGCCTGTTCCAGTGTTTTATTATTACCCTTTCAGTGAAGAAGTTTTTTCTAATATCTAAGCTAAATCCCACCCTGGCACAACTCACAACCATTTCTTCTTGTCCCATCACTTGTTACTTGGGAGTAGAGACTGATCCCCACCTCACTACAACCGCTTTTCAGATAGCTGTGGACAGCAATCAGGTCTCCCTTCAGCCTCTTGTCCAGGCTGAGCAACTCCAGTTCCCTCAGCCACCTCTTGTAAGACTTCTCCTCTAGACCTCTCACCAGCTTCATTGCCCTTCTCTGTACCCACTCCAGCACCTCAATCTCCTTCTTGTAGTGAGGGGCCCAACACTGAACACAGTACTTGAAGTACGGCCTCATCAATGCTGAGTACAGTGGGACACTCACTTCCCTAGTCCTGCTGGCCACAATACATCTGATACAAGCTAGGATGCCATTTGCCTTCTTGGCCGCACTGCTGGCTTATATCCAGCTGTCTGTCAATCAACACCCCAGGTCCTTTTCCTCTGGGCAGCTTTCCAGCCCTGGGGAGCACCACTTGTGACTGGCTGCCATCTGGGTTTAATTTCATTAACCACAACTCTTTGGGCCCAGCCATCCAGCCAGTTTTTTGAACAGTGAAGGACACAGTGGTCTAAGCCAT